GCAGGAGAAGAACCTTCTTGGAGAATTGCTCTTCAGAATCTCCTCCAAGTGTGGTCTGGACCAACGGCATCACCTGGGAGCTGGTTAGGGATGCAGAATCTCTGCCCCACTCCAGACCTGCAGACTCAGAATCTGCATTTTAACAAGATTCCAAGGTGATTTGTTTGCACGTACAAGTTTGAAAAGCACCGCTCAAAGTCACACGTACTGTTTTCTCCTGTCTCTAATTTCAGAGTCTGACCGGGAGGTGGGTACGCCCCGGCATCGTAGAGTCTGAATCCTTCCTCTTAGTGAAGAGAAGCCCCCAGCTCACTGTAGGTGCACCTCCAGCTGAGGACCTGAGGGGGAGGAATTCTCTCACGGAACCCTGACTAACAGCCTCTGTGGAGCCAAGGGATGAATCCAAACTTCAGCTTGCTTTCTCAACCATCCCGGGCCTGCTCATACCTGGCAGAACCTTGTACCAAAGATGGAAGAAGCCTGTCCCCCAGAGAACAGGGCAGAGACTCCCCGTTTCCCTGGAGCCAGGTCCCCAGCTCCAGCCTCGCTGACCCTGACTGGTTTTGGGATGAGCACATCCAGGCAAAGAGAGCCAGAGTAGAGACCATCGTCCAAGGCATGTGTCTCTCCCCTAACCCTCCGGTGCCAGGCAATGCCCCAGCCAGGGACAGCCTGTGCTGCCCAGAGAAGGCCCGGGAGCGGAAGAGGAAGCAGAATCTTCCCGTGCAGCAAGGCCCCCTGAAGCCAGGCCCTGCCGGGGACCGGGGAAGCAGGAAGGGGGGCCCTCGGGTGAGAGAACAGCTTCACCTGCTGAAGCAACAGCTGAAACACCTGCAGGAGCACATCCTGCAGGCTGCCGAGCCCAAGGCCCCAGCTCAGGGCCCGGGAGGCTCAGAGACAGGGAAGGACCCTCTGAGTGTAAAGCAGAGGGATGGCTCTGGGTCTACGTCCTGGGCTGTGCACAGTGACCACCGCCAGGGTTCCAGCGGGGACCTCTCCAGGGTGGAGAAACACAGAGTGTCTGAGGTCAAACACCAGCCTGAGGAACCCAGGCTCCTTCCTTCTGGAGCGCGAGCTTTGCTGGAGATTCTGAAGAAAGAATTGACGGGGGCCATATCCCAGGCTGTGGACTCAGTATTACAGAAGGTGCTACTGGATCCATCGGGCCACCTGACTCACCTGGGCAGAAGCTTCCCGGGGCTGGTGCCAGATGGTAGAAGCGAGCCCTCGCCTCCTGAGGGAGGTGCCTGTAAAGATCCCCTTCCTCTGGCTGCCTTGCCCAGGAGGGCCCAGCCACAGACAGGGGCTCCACTGGGAAACTTATCTCTGGCCAAGCCTCTAGATTCTCCCAGGTACCCTGTCTCTCCGAGAATGATCCCCAAACCCTGTCAGGGTCCCCCAGCAAACTGTCCCTTGACTGTGCCTGCCCACATCCAGGAAGATCAGATTCTCAGCCAGCTACTGGGCCATAGGCCCAGTGGCCACTGGAGGGGCAATCTTCCGCAGGACTCATCTCCCCAGAGCCACCCCTCCTCAGAGGCGGCCCTGCGACCTTGGCGAGCTGCCAAAGTGCGACCACTGGCTTTGAGCCAGCAACAGTGCCCCTGGCTCTTCAAGTCCACCTGTTTGGAAAGACTGCCCCTCGTTCCCTCAGTGAAAATGGAGCAAGGTGGCCTGCAGGCCGTCACGGACGCACTTCCTTTCTCTTCAGCCCTTTACATATCCTTTTACTAGTAATCGAAGTTCTCGTTATCACAGCCCAGAGAGACAGGGAGTCTGGACGATGAGGGGAGGGGGGGACAAATAAGTACCCCACGCAGGGAACAGCTCTTCTTTCCCGGTGGTCTTCTTAACGTTGCTTCTGGGCCTCCCTCCCCTGTGGCTCGTATTTGTTAGGCTCCTGAGAAAGTGGTGACCACAGCCTGGGATTTAAGGATGCTTGGAGGGGTCCGTCACCTTCCTCTGTGACACATCAGATTCTACCACTACTGGCTGAGTCCTTTGGGTCTGAAAGGGTTTTGTCTGTTTTGAAACCCAAATTGGCTCCCAAAATACCCTGTGGAAGGAAAAACCCCATCATTTAGTTGTCAGCTGCCCGTAGACCTTGGCAGAGCGGGTCAAAGGAATGGCCTCACCTGAGGCATGGCTCCTGGAGCCTCTTGGCTCTACAGGCAAAAAGCCTGCTCTGACCAGATAATTCACGGGGAAGAGACGAGGGACCAGCAACTTCTGGAGCAGATGGGAAAGGGGAAGTTTTCTGCAGGGACTAGACCTGAGGGGTAAGCTGAAAGGGGTAAGAAGATTTCAGTTTAAGGACTAGCTTCTAAGCTGCAGCTGAGGAGAGAGCCTAGGGCTGCACACATGTGGAGGAAGAGGAGGCCCCCATGGGGAAGGCTGCGGGGCCCAGGCTGGTCTGAGAGGGTCCGAATCTTTTTTTTTTTTAATTTTTATTTATCTATGTATTTTTGGCTGCGTTGGGTCTTCGTTGCTGTGTGTAGGCTTTCTCTATTGGCGTTGAGTGGGGGCTACTCTTCGTTGCGGTGCACGAGCTTCTCATTGCGGTGGCTTCTCTTGTTGCGGAGCACGGGCTCTAGGTGCGTGGGCTTCAGTAGTTGTGGCACTCAGGTTCAGTAGTTGTGGCTCACAGGCTTAGTTGCTCCGCGGCATGTGGGATCTTCCCGGACCAGGGCTCGAAGCCGTGTCCCCTGCATTGGCAGGCGGATTCTCAACCACTGCGCCACCAGAGAAATCCCAAGGGTCTGAATCTTATTGCATCATCTTTGCAACCCTTAGGCAGACCCCACTCTTAAACAGTTTTTTCTTCAGAGTAACTCTCCCTCAGGATGTTAACAGTTGTTGAAGTAGGAGAAAAAGTAGCTTGGGTAAATAAACACTGGGTTAGTTCCATTACTGCGGGACTTCTCAGAGCCATGCTTAAGTCCAATGAAAAGCTCTAAGAGGAGAATGTAGGCAGCCCCAAACTCATATGACCAAAGGGCCCTTTTCCAACAGGCAACTGCAGGACTCAAGTTCCTGAGAACATATTTTGGATGTTGCTTTTTTAGGGAGCCAAGCTCACGCTGCTGCTTCTCAGGGACAGCCTTAAGTCGAATCTCCTTGTGCCTGTGGAGTCACACAAGCAGATGTGAACAGTCGTGCCCTCTACCTGGCAAGCAGTGGTGAGGACGCAGGATGGGATGGGGCCAGCTCACTACCATGCCAGGCCCGCCCTTGTGTCCTAAATGCTATGAGCACCCCCTGCTGGTCACAGGTGTTAGAAACACTCCCGAAGCTCTGGCACCGCTGGCTGCTTTCCTGGCAGGCAGAGAGCAGCTACAAAACCAACGCTGAGAGCAACTCACCAGCCACCAGTAGGCATAGAGATATCAACATAGGCAGAATTTCTCGTCAGGTGATAGCCCTCTGTGAGGAAAGCTATCTGTCGGGCCTTTGATAAGAGGCTACTGGTTAAGACTCTCTGTCAAAGTCAGGTGGTGGAAGAACCTCAAGGGCTCAGTCCCCAAAGATTCTCTGCTGTCCTTCCCCTGTGAGGGGTGTGCTGTGCAATTTCTAAGGCACCTGGCCCTGAGAAATACACACACAGGGGCATGCCTGGCCCTGCCTTATGACATGAGGATTGGGCTCCAAGAGCTTCAGGAGGTTTCGGGGGGCACCCACGGAGCCTGGCTGCCCGGGTCAGGTACTTGGCTACATTTGGAATGATTGGGGGCCCCCAGGCAGCATCCTGACCCCAATTAGTCCCTCATTCCAGCATTAGAGATTTATTCCTCTGGGCCATGAAAGCCACCTAAGAGCAAGTTCTTCACGTGGCACGTGGAATACAAAGTTGAATGGATAAGGTTCTTGCTCTCAAGGACCTTCACATTCACATGATACCCCTGTGAAACAGGTAGAGCAGGCATGATGATGAGACAATGATGATTTACCGCACACCTTCTCTGCGGCGGGCACTGCGACTCGCAGTTTCCCTGCTCACCCCCTTAGCCACAATTCTGAGACACAAAACGCTCTGAAAATCTCTATGATTTCTTTCCCCTAAGGTTGATGGGAACTCACCTGGTTGCAAAACCTGACCTGCACTGATAGGAGGCTATTTATAGACTATCTCACTTAACATAATTAGTCATTGATTTTGCTGTGGGAATATTAAATGGATTAGACTCCTGCCACAGACCCTGCTGGGGGTGTTAACTAACACATCGTACATGCACCGTATTACCTTTATAAAATAACAGGGATTCTGAAGTCTGGCCTCCATTTGGCCCAGCGTTTCAGATAACGGATTGTGGGCCTGTGTTATCTTACCCTCCTCAATCATCCACTCTAGATCAGTATCAGGGAGGCAGGGACAGAGAAGCAAAATAACTTGCCCAAAGTCAAAGACAGACACATGCAGAGACAGGATTCAAACCCAGCATCTGACTGCCAAGCACAAGCTTCAACCACTATACTCCACAGTTTAGAAATGAGGCCCAGAGAACATAAGTGGCTTGCCCAAGGTCACACAGGGTCTTGGTGGCAAAATCTGTATCTGAAACTGGGTCTTTGGACTCAATCCAGGATTCTGTCCACAGCATTTATGAAGGATAAGAAGTAGGGCCAATGAGGCAGGGAGCGGGGGCCTCCTGGACAGCAGCTAGGTGCCTGGCCAGCTATAATTATCATCAGTTGCTTGGTTTCCTTCGGGTAAACTGACATATCCTACTGAGAAGTCTTTTTTGTCCTAAGGCTACAGCTCAGGTCTGAGCTCCAGGGTAGCTCTGTATGCTTGTCACTCAGCCCTAGGATTGTTCCTGGGAATGCTAAGTGTTCTTGTGTAAGAATCTTTTATTTCCCTCTCACCCTGGTGCTAGTTTTCACACCACAGCCCCCTACTCTTATTAAAGGGGAAGGACTCTGTTCCCAGAGTGAGGAATGAGTTGGAATAGAATTGCCATACTTGTGTATGGATTAAAGTTGACCATTTAATCACTCCCTCATTCCTTCATCCAACGAACATTTATTGAGCACCTACTATGTTCCTAGCACCGGGCTAGGCACGTGGAATACAAAGATGAAAGGATAAGGTCTCTGCTCTCAAGGAGCTAACAGTCTAAATAGGGAGACAAACATGCAATAAAATTCCAATAATGTCATTGTTACAAAAAAAGGTTTATACAAAGAGTGTTGGTAGCCCAGGGTAAGGAAGGCCTACTTTGGCAAGAAAAGGTTTCACAGCAGAGGGAACATCTGATTTGAGATGGGAAGGATGAGGGAAAATTCTGCCAGGCAAATGGAGAGCAGTTGCAGCCCAGCAATTCAAGCTTCTTGAGCCAAAGTTAACTGTGATCTGGTACTCAGTCTGGTTAGATGCTCGTTGGTGTCAACACTGCAAAGGCAATGATGAGAGCCAGAATGGGGACCATCTAGTCGACTCCTCTCATTTTACAGATGAGGAAACTGAGGCAGAGAGAAGTAAATCTCTACCTGAGGTTTTGAAATGGTTTATCTGGGAGAGAGTTGCCGTCTCTTCCCATCGTATTGTGAAAGCACACACACAGTACAACAAACTGTATTTGATATCACATGTGCCATAGAACTTTTACACATCAAAATGCTTTGTAAATTCTGCGACTTTACTGTACATATGTGGTATTCAGCATCTGGAAAGAAAAAGCTTATCTGATGATACTTGCTAGAGGCAGAAAAACAGAGCAAATACATCATTCAACCAGAAAAAAATAAAATAGAAACCATAAGGAACAGGGCAATTTACTATTTGGATAATTTGACAAAATTATTTGATAAACTGGTATTAGTTTTCCTTGACCCTGGGATAAATCCAGGAGGGCCTCAACCCTGGTCACTTGAAGAAGGCCAAACTAATGTTTTTCTTCACACGCTATCCCAGTTCCAACCTCCTGAAGGCTTATTTTCCTGATGTTCAGGTAAACTCCTTCAACTGAGTTTCAGCCTCTGCAAAACTCCCAAGTGGCAGCGGGTTCTTCCCATGTGAGGCAAGTCCTAGGTCATCATACGTGCACTTTAGCTCCCCTTCATGTTGTGGATGGAATTGGTGGCATTTTTGGTCTGGGCTGAGAAACTGCCTGAATCATCAGGGGTAACTTTGAGGGTAGGAAAGTTGGGTGTCTGAATTTAAGCTTTTGAACTGTAGGTATACCCAGAAACATATGGGGAGAGAGGCAGGGTTAGAAAGAACCACTAGGAAATGGCGTCTTTGGCCTAGTGTTCTGTCTTTGCTGGGGACGCTATGAAAAAAAGAAAGAGTGTATCAAGAGTTGGACACTGTCCCTGTCAACTTTACATTCAAACTGCTGTGTTTCAAAATCGACTGAAGGTGCATACAGATCAATGTGACAATAAGAAAAATCAAGGTCTGATGGTTGGAACCAGGCCTTGCCTGTTTCCATAAAGTTTCTGAGGGCCTCCTTTACCCTGGGTATTGGGTTAGGGGCTGTTAATACTTTGTATCTATATCATCCCTTTGCTGTTTTTGAGCTCTTTCCCTCATATCCAATTGCTCGGTTGATCCCTGCACCAAGCTCTCATTCTGATTCATTCCGCAACTCTGAGTTGCCAGTAAATGGCTCTCTGATCTACACCTTTACCCCTTTCCTTGGCTCTTTACCTGGCAGAGGGCTCTGGGGCTGCCGTGCAGTCTACCTGGGTGCAGCAGAAGCTGGGACCACACTAGTCTTGACCCTGGACCCTCCCAAAGTCACACTTCAAGAGTGAAAAACCTTTATAAATCTAGGCTATAAAATACATTTTCTAATGGGCATTATGGCCTAATTCAGATTTTTCTGTGTATAACTGTATAGGCTTAGAAAACAGCTGTGGCTTCTTTTTTAAAGAAAGCCCTTTTTAGTGTTGCTTGAAGCCATTCTTGTTAACCCCTGTGTTGAACTGGAAGCTGACAGTTCTGACCGAGCACCTCATGGCAAACGTCTGAGTTCATGGACCCTGTTGTTTGTACAGTTCAACCGCTGCATTACCTCCCAGATGATCAAGTGGTTCAGCAACTTCCGTGAGTTTTATTATATCCAGATGGAGAAATTTGCCCGGCAAGCAATTTCAGATGGTGTCACAAATCCCAAAATGCTGGTGGTTCTCCGCAACTCGGAGCTTTTTCGAGCTCTCAATATGCACTATAACAAGGGAAACGACTTTGAGGTAAGATCATGTGCTTGGGTCCCAGAAGGACTGATGAGTGCCTTCCCTTTGTGATTGGGGTTTTAGAAAAGATCCCCTTCCGTGTCTGTCCTTACATCACTGAGAGCAGGGCAGCCGGGGGCCAATCTCTGTACCATCCACAAAGATTACAGCCTGCACATCTTCTCTTAGGCAACTGACGGATGCTGCAAACTGAATGTACAGCCTGTCTTTATTCATAAACTTGGCCAGAGGTCAGCTGTTATGCCATTTTAGACAATACTCTGTAATGACCGAGTTACACAGCCTGTCGACCTTCTCACCTTAGCGCCAGGAGGCCCAGGACTGAATGCAGGGCTCAGCTGCATGCCTAGTCTTGGCCTAGGGTTTCTTTACAACAGTCTCTGTTCTTTCAGTCATTTGATTCTTATCTTCATTCTCCCTTGAACAGTTTTATCTGTGGGTCTCCCATGGCAAGTCACCTCAAATCCTTTCTGGAAATAATAAACAATACTCAAGCTTCTCAGTCCTTTGGGGATCTCTGTGAAGGCACGCTGGTGGCACCGTAGAGGTAAAGCATCAGTAAAGGGTGAGCAGGTGGCCTAAGTGTCGCTGGTGAGAACTCGTAATCTTCCTTGTGTGTGGCTGACAGCTCGGTTAGGCTGACATCTTGTTCTGCAGGCGCTGGGTGTGTCTGGTCACTGACTACACTTCCCTCTTCTCGCATTTCTCACTTGACTGTGATCACAAAGCAGTGTATTGACACCTCCAAAAAAAGAGAAGAACTGCTGGCATCCACTGGTTAGATGATCCATCAGAATATGTTTGGAAACCTAAGCCTACCTGTGGGGAAAATGGACCATGCCTCCTTTGTGAGGCTCGTGGGGGTCAAGGCATGTGGATGGGAGGCAGCGCTGCCACGTCTTTCCACGTGCGGGTGTCATCTGGCACGCAGTGGTGGCAAGCCCCAGGCCAGGCTGGATCTGGAGGCCCTGTAGGATGTCCCATCATTAACGGTGCCAGTCTGGGTGAGGTCCTGGAACATCTTCTTGAGGCCCCCCACACCCCCGCAAGCCTCCTGGTTGGCTTTGGGAGCAGGAATGATTCCAAGTCCTTCGAACCCTGTCCCAAAAGATGGCAGAATGAGGTACGACAGTCGTAAGCTTGGGGGCAGTTCTTTCCACATGAGGCACTAAGGAAAAGAATACGAAAAACCTCTTCTAAACCACAGATTTAACTTCAATCAGAGTCAGTTTCCCGCTTACTAAAAACGCCACTCATTAGTGGAATCAGCTACTCCTACAAAGGGAGTGTCCCTAATACGCTTTCTCCCAGGGCTGTCTCATCAGTACCATCATTTTAAGGTATGTATTTGATGAGGGAGGAAGAGATTCCACAAAAGTCAGGGGCCAGTAGAGCAGGGAAGCTCTGATCAGCCCACAACCCTAGGAACAGGCAGTATCAGGCAGTGAGGTCTGTATGGTGCCAGTGCTTCACAGCCTCACGTCTTTTCTTCCTTGTGGGTCTCTTTGGGAGTGCAGGTCCCAGACTGCTTCTTGGAAATCGCCAGCTTGACATTACAGGAGTTCTTCAGGGCTGTCTCCGCAGGCAAAGACTCAGATCCTTCCTGGAAGAAACCCATTTACAAAATTATTTCGAAACTGGACAGTGACATCCCAGAGATATTCAAATCTTCCAGCTATCCCCAGGAGCTGTTTCGGAATTAAGGTCCCACAAAGTGAGGGGCGACTGGCCTGGGTTTATCTTAAATGGCAGTCAGTACAGCTGTAGTCATATAAAAAGAGCATAAGGAGAAACCCCTCAAATAGGTACCATTACCATTTTTGATCATTTATTTCCTTTTCCAGAATTACCAGAGGTTTAACATTAACTATAAAATATTGTAAAAGGAACACAACAGTTTGGAACCAGAAGTATCCCCACGCCACTGTTTCCAGGTATCATGACCCTGGGAACTTGCAGGTGTCTCTGCATCTGTAACATGAGGTTGTATGGATAAAAAGACATGTCCTAAAGTGCTCTGTGAAATGTTTCTCACTACACAAATGTTATTTTTTTTTCTCCTTCATCTTTCAGATAAGGCCATCTTATTTGGGGTTTTTATAAATTGCTGTTTCGAGTTACCTATTTATCAAACTCCACTTATTTGCAAGACACTTTCAAATACATTACCTTTAAGCTTTTTACCCTGAAACATTTTTAAAGCAACCAAACAGAAGTTTTAGAACTGTAAGATAAGTCGTCAAAGGCTATGAGGCTAGGGCCTTTGGGTTGGTAGGGGCAGTCAGGAGTGTGGAGGAACCCATGGCCTTCTGATGCCAGGCTGCATGTGGACCACCTCATGCTGCCGCCCATGCTCTCACACAGGCCACCATCCCCGGTGAGCATCCAGCACTGATGCGGCACCATCTTGTGACAACCCCTGCCTGGCACTTAGGAGTGCTTCCTCACTGGACGTCCACCGATCGTTCCAGCAAAGCTGAAACAAACTTTCTGCAGGACCTGAGTGTTGCTGTACATTCACATTTATCTGCTGGAAGAGTTTATCAGCTGAATAACCCGAACAGTCTCTAGGTGACCAATGCAATTAATGCCCCAACTTCCCATGTGCAGAAGAAACTGAACTTCAGACCACGAAAGCTAGAAGGGCCTTAGGGGCTCATCTGGCCTACCCTGCTTAAAAGAGGAAGGAGGAATGAAGCCCAGATGCGAGGCTTTGCACAGACCGTGGACAGCTTAAGTGGGACAAATACAGCATCACACAGCAATGGAAATTCTCTTGCTCCATAAGGACATTACAGCCCATGGTCACTCTTTCACAGATAAAGGAATTCATGAAATCAACATTCCTTTCACCTACTGCTCCAACACAAATTGTGCCTTGCTCTGAGCATACAGGCAAGACATCTGCAAAGCTGAGTAACTGTATCTAGCTTCCCAGCTAGTCAGAGTCAAGTCTTTGAAAGGATGCCAAAGGTGCGCAGGCCAGGATAGGCGTCACAGAGCTTGAGCTCTGTGCTCTGATTAAGGGGTGTCTGTGACTTCGTTAGTTTACTTCTCTTCCCTCTGTGCAAAACAAGTTTCCACATTTAATTACTCCACTTCCTTGACTTTTCAGGTCAGCTGGATCAGATAAGATGAAATCCCTAAATTATTGCTAGATGTATCAACATAAAAAGGTAGGAAAGACGACTTTCTTTTGAATTTTCTCTTACTCCAAATAGCTAAGAGGAAAAACAAAACAAACATACTCAGCCCAAACCAGTCTTTTTGGGCTGCTTTAAGGCTATTTGTAAGTGTCCTTCATCACATCCAACTGCACTCAGATGATCTTTGCCCTATTTTCTCCCACAATGTTCTCTTTACAAAAATGAAGGACTCCGCCAAACCTCAGTTTTAAAAGCAAGCAAGCACTGAGTATCCTGAGCAAGGGCAATCAGGCATCTGTGTTTGGGGACAGAAGAACCTGCTGTCCAGAGTGACATTACATAGTTATTTAAGACATTCATGGGAAACAATTCCAAGTTCACATGATTGTCCAATATGAACAGCCACTTTCTGTCCCAAACCTGAAATTCATTAGCTTTAAACACTGAGCCAAGCCACCTCCAGGGCAGTGAACCTTGTCCCAGGGACCAATTAGATGAAATGTACAAGCTCAAATTGAAAACATTTGGGTACTGCAGTCTTTCCAGGAAGTGTTCTCTAACCACTGAACTAAACACACAAGAATGCATAAATATATATGCTCTGCCAACAGAAGAATTCTAGTTTACTATATTTTTCTGTCTCTACCAGGTATGGTGGGAACACATTCGAGCATAAGCTGAGATGGTTATTGTGTTCTTTTAGCCGTCATAATATTGCCAAAGGTCTGCTTATTCTTTCCATCAAGGTGTTATGTGGATATACCCAAATTAGACATGCTCAGCGTCTGGTCAAATACTGCGTAACTGTCCAATCCTTCTTTGTTGGACAGCAGGGGCTGGACTGTGGTTTAAGATGATGGCATTACTGAGGACTTAATGTCCAATGATCAATTGAAAGCAGGCAGTTAACTGGCATTCCATGCAGAAAAATGTTAATTAGGGCCATTTATTTCAAACATGGTTGTATATAGTATACACAGCTCCAGACCAGATTCATATGGTGAAGGGGCGAAAGGCATCTCCTAGGTATATAAGGGGGTACCCGAGCCATTTTCTTTCCATCAGAGGAAGGGCATACCTGGCAGCGATAGCACAGCACTCTTTAATAAAGTTCTGCACTCCAGACCCAGGGAGGTACACAGGTCCACTTTTAAAAATTGTCTTTGTTTTCAATGACGTAATATAGAATCCTCAGAAAAAATAGTTTAAAATAAGGCTTCCATAACATAATTTTACATGTGCCTTTAAGAAAATATTTCTTTTAAAATCTTTATAAAATTTGCTGAAATTTTGGTAACCAGTTTCCTGGATGAAGTATATATTCTAAATGTTCATAATCTTTATTTTATTTTTATTTTTTGGTGGTACGCGGGCCTCTCACTGTTGTGGCCTCTCCCGTCGCGGAGCACAGGCTCCGGACGCGCAGGCTCAGCGGCCATGGCTCACAGGCCCAGCCGCTCCGCGGCATGTGGGGTCTTCCCGGACTGGGGCACGAACCCGCGTCCCCTGCATCGGCAGGCGGACTCTCAACCACTGCGCCACCAGGGAAGCCCTTTTTTTTTTTTTTTTTTTTTAAAGTGAAGTTGATGTGTTAGTTTCTGGTGTACAGCAAAGTGTAAATGTTCATAATCTTTGATTCTATCTTTTTTCTTTTTATAGTTTTGAACCTTTGCTCTGTAAAGCAGATCAAACATAGTTTGATGATGCATGCATTCAAAACAAAACAGAAATTTTAAAAATCCATTGATTTTTTACACAAACTCTATTAGGTAATTTGTTATTTCACATAATACATGTGTATTTGTATTTCATACAATGTAAGATCATTTTCTCAGGACTGAGAAAATCAGAAAAGATAATGAGATAAAGTGATGAGGGGGAGAGCTAAAGTTATAGTTCTGTCAGGCTGATGCTTGTGACAATATGGCAAATACAATACTTCTCATGAAAGTATAAACATATTCTTGGTCAGATTTAAGTATATACAACACACACTGTAAAGACTGAGCTCTGGTTACATATTTGAGAGCATTAATAATGCATGCTGTATCTCTGAGGTAGATCACGGTACCTACACTTAAAACTGTGTACTAAGTGCTCACCCATGGAAAAAGACAATTCTTGAAAAGGGTATTTTTCAGGGGTAGACAATTTCTATAGACCAGAAGAAGCTCTTTCAGACTATATAAACCTAAAGAGTATAACCAAGTGTCCAGGAGTTGAATGCTCAATCATATTCTTTTAGAAAACCAGATGCTAGGCCCCAGAGGAAGAAGGGAATGTCTGATGAAACGTTGAGGGCAGGTACAGACAACGAAAACAGTATAGGAACACCCACTCCAAACCCCACCAGTTTCACATGTCCATCTACTCACACTGAGGAGTCTGCCTTCTCTTTCACCAAGGGTCTCTCGGGGTTATTTGTTTCTAACAATCTTACCCTTCACACTGACAAACTCTTGTTTTGCCATTTCCGAATTCTCCAGCAACACCCCTCAAGCAAACGTCAGGTCCTAGAGGCTTCCCTTAGAAAACCCTTTTTCTCCCCATATTTACTGATTTCTGTGGCTCAGACTCCTTATCTCCTTGACAACTGCTTCTCCTTAACTAAGTCTGAAAAGTAAGCAAGCACTGAGTACCTCAAGCAAGAATGTCGTCTCTCCCCTTCCCTTTCCCCCACTTTATCCTCAGCTATCTGATCTGCTGCCCCCGCTCCACCTTCACTTTCCCCCTCAACCAATACCTTTCCTAAGTAGAGTTCTGTGGTTAGGTGCATGAGTTCTGGAGTGTCTTGTCATTCTGGCTCAAGTACCTACCAGCTCTGATCTCTGCAAGTTACTTATTCCCTTGGCCTCAGCTTTTCCATTTGTAAAACAGAGATAATAAAATAGTACCTACCTCATAGTACTGATCTAAGTTTTAGGTAAAATCATACATGAAATTCTCAGCACACTCCTAGCGTACAGTAGGTGCTCAGTAAATATTATTAGCTACATTATTACTCAGCAGTCATAAACTGTTAGCAAGATCATGAACTTGTACTCCTAACAGTGAAGAATTATTTCTTAAGAACGGCACTGATGTGTGACATTACTGATATAAAACATATTCTGAATTTCATTTTTACTATAACCATGTAGTAACATGTACTAGTATCTGTAAAGATAGCAAAAAACTTAGCTTTAAAGTGGTATGTTAACGTTTTCTGAGAGGTAAACAAAACCCAGCCTAAAAAAAAAGCCATGTGCCATAAACTCTATATGCTTCCCTCACTCTTTATAACAATCCTATGTTGATGTGCTGTTTACTTGACACATGACATAGCTATTATTGCTATTTGCTAGTTGGTTGCTAAGTCATCAACCTGCTTTTCTGTAGGCCAATACATTGCCTTTCTGACACCCTTTTAATTATAAGCTTTGTGACTGATGTAGTATTTCTAAAATTATTCAACTTG